CCGAACTGTACCCCTGTTGTGATGATTGGATACTGACATCCCGAACTGTACCCTGTTGTGATGTTTGGATACTGACCTCCCAAACTGTCCCCTGTTGTGATGTTTGGATACTGACCTCCCGAACTGTTCCCTGTTGTGATGATTGGATACTGACATCCCGAACTGTTCCCTGTTGTGATGTTTGGATACTGACCTCCCAAACTGTACCTCCTGTTGTGATGTTTGGATACTGACATCCCGAACTATATCCCTGTTGTGATGTTTGGATACTGACATCCCGAACTGTACCCCTGTTGTGATGTTTGGATACTGACATCCCGAACTATATCCCTGTTGTGATGTTTGGATACTGGCATCCCGAACTGTACCCCGGTTGAGATGTTTGGATACTGACCTCCCGAACTGTACGAAAAGTACTTAAAATCAGTACTAGCTACTATCTGCATGAGGTTCAACTATCCTGTTGTGATGTTTGGATACTGACCTCCCAAACTGTCCCCTGTTGTGATGTTTGGATACTGACCTCCCTAACTGTATCCTGTTGTGATGTTTGGATACTGACCTCCCAAACTGTCCCCTGTTGTGATGTTTGGATACTGACCTCCCTAACTGTATCCTGTTGTGATGTTTGGATACTGACCTCCCGAACTGTTCCCTGTTGTGATGATTGGATACTGACATCCCGAACTGTTCCCTGTTGTGATGTTTGGATACTGACCTCCCAAACTGTACCTCCTGTTGTGATGTTTGGATACTGACCTCCCAAACTGTACCCCTGTTGTGATGTTTGGATACTGACCTCCCGAACTGTACCCCTGTTGTGATGTTTGGATACTGACATCCCGAACTGTACCCCTGTTGAGATGTTTGGATACTGACCTCCCGAACTGTACGAAAAGTACTTAAAATCAGTACTAGCTACTATCTGCATGAGGTTCAACTAAAAAAATGGATAGTAATAGTGACTGGATGTGATGTCAGGTATACTACAGGTAACCCTAACTGATTTTATATGTCAGGTGTAACACAGGAAACCATTGATGCCAGGTGAACTTCAGGTAACCCATAACTGATTTTATATGTCAGGTGTAATGTAGGTAACCCTTGATGTCAGGCATACTACAGGTAACCCTAACTGATTTTATATGTCAGGTGTAATACAGGAAACCATTGATGCCAGGTGAACTTCAAGTAACCAATAACTGATTTTATATATTAGGTGTAATACAGGTAACTTTGATGTCGGGTGAACTTCAGATAACCCTAACTGATTTTATATATCAGGTGTAATACAGGTAACTTTGATGTCAGGTGAACTTCAGATAACCCATAACTGAATTTATATGTCAGGTGTAATGCAGGGTCACACTTTATGAAAGGTGTATTACAGGTAACCCATAACTACTTTTGTATGTCAGGTATACTACAGGTAACCCATAACTACTTTTGTATGTCAGGTATACTACAGCTAACCCATAACTACTTTTGTATGTCCGTTGTAATGCAGGTAACACTTGATGACAGGTGTACTACATGTTAAACTTTGTTTGTATGTCAGTTGTAATGCAGATACCCTTGATGACAGATGTACTACAGGTAACCCATAACTATTTTTTTAGCCAGGTGTAATGCAGGTAACCCTTGATGACAGGTGTATTTTCTATGTCATTGATTTACCTTGGTAACTTAAATAACCACTTCCATACAATATTGCTATATTAAATATATATGAACTTTATATATTTTACAACAATTATGAAACAAGTTATTTCAACTAACTGTAAATTTGCAGGTATAGTGCGCACTCGGGTAAAGTGCGCAGGTACGTTTTTGGGGTCAGATTTGAAAGAGAGAAAAAATGAAAATAAAATGATATTTTTTTTGTGAAAACAATCCTAAAAATAAAGGTTATCAAACAGGAAAAGAAGCATCAACGGTAGCTTGGGTTTTATAACGCCGATTAATTAACAATTGATTGATTGGAGTCAACAAGCCCTCAATACGACTCAAAATAAAACTATTTGAAGGGAGGTAATCCAATATGGCGGACCAGAAACTCAAGAGCGATAACCCAAGAATGACTTGTTCCTGCATATAGTGTGCACCCCCTTTTGACATGACAATATTTACTTAAAAAAGTGTGCACTATACGCAAAGGTATATTAATCACTCTTGTTGGCCCTGATGTAAGCGTGCAGGTATTAGAATGGGAGGAAACCAGAGTACCAGGAGAAAACCCACATGGTCAGGCAGGTGATCCCAGCCTTTTCGCGTACAACCCTGGCCGCCTTGGTGAAAAGCAAGTGCGCTATCCACTGCACCATCTGACCACTCTATTGTGATATTACATCAGCATTCAAGTTGCCAGTTCATAAATATTCAATATAGCAAGATTTGCATCTATCAATTGGTGAAGAAAGTTAAATACGCTAGTTTTTGGGCAAAGGGTTGACAAAAAGATGTGTTACATAGATGTAGTATTATGTTACTTCACAGTGAAAACAAAACCACAAAGACCTGGATTAAATGTCCTTCAGGACACAGGGGAATTTGCTTGTAACATATGAAGAAGAGTGCTTTTTTAAACACACAAGGTGTAGACAAGTTTTGCTGACACAGACTACTTTCCAGTAAAAACTGATTAGCAATAAGCATCAATAAAACTGAACATTGGTTGCAAAAAATAAACTGGATTAAATGTACTTTTATTATCAATCAATAATATCAAGCATAAAGTTGTCTCCCCTTCGTAGGGAATCAATCCTCCTTAAACATTTATTACCGCGCGGTAAGGGTATGATGGTACAGTACAGCATCTACATGCCCCTGAGTCTCCATCAGATGTTCTTCACGAGTGAAAAACACCCAGTGTAATGGGTGGAATCAATATACATTTTACAGACATAAACACAGTTTATTCGGTAATTGTACAACCAATCTTACTTTCCCACTGTCCCCGGGGTTTACCGTTAGTTGATGAATAGTGCAAGATTTGCAGTTTGTATGTCTTTGACATGGTCGCGGAGGTTCCGAGGCCAGTGTCACATTTAACATGTTTTCTCCCACAATAATGTACTACCCGCTACACGATTTCTTCCCTTGACTGTTTATCACTGAGCGTACCAATTGCCCAATCATGTAATAGATAAAAGTGGGTTCTAAACCAAAATATATATATATGTCCTATACAATATGAATCCATATTTATACATGTATCATACAACTTGTTTTTTCCTTAGATCATCGGATTCTTTATTTCTGATAAGTGTGCGAAAAAAACCAGTGAATTAAATCTGATTGTCTACCTAACGGGCGACCAGAAAATGGGCGCATTAGACACAGACAGACGCAAATACACTAAATATACAGCAGTCGCAAGCAGATAGATGTATTCTGTAAATACACGAAATTCAAAAGGCAGAATTACTAGACATAAGGTCAATCACAACTCATCATTATGGTGTTACAGCTCACAATATAAAACACACTATATAGAAGATGCCAGCCATCATAAATCAAACTCCAGACATGGAAATCTATTAATCTACAATTACAGATGCTAGCCCAAAACCTAGCTGTCTCATACACTAATACTTCCTTAACTTCTATAATTCTCCACAGCCGACAAATACGCCATTTTGTATTTCAATAGCGACTGTATTTTTTATCAAAATTAAAAGGATTTTTTTCTTAATTTATTGATGAAAATATGAAAGATTTTGATGAATCAACTACAGACGAAGCTCACAAGCTGTCATATGTAGTAACATCCTGTCAAGCTTTTGTGAGTACAAGCTCACAACTTTAGAAAAGGCCATTTTAGATGTTTTCCTCATTTTAAAAAGCAACAACATACTGAACTTGAAGCAGTATCACATATTGGTACTGCAACCACCATATGTTCAAAACTGGTGTTCATTGTCTACCTGAACACTACTGAATTTTAAATATTTGATTAATACACTTCATGTTGATTTTTTTTCGTTATTTCATAAATCATCATAGGGTAACCCATGCCAGTATTGTCAGTGTTGGTATCAGCCTTTTTAAAAATTGGGTACCAAACATGCAAAACTATTGATATATCATATATATATATAGAAATTGTGTCCATTTCCTTGTTTGCTTCAGTTGGATATAAATCTGGTGTTAATATTTAAACTTGTACAATATTATCATAATGAAAGATTAGGTGGTAAAATTTAATTTTAGGGATGGGATGAAGAGTGAGGTGAAATTAGATCAGGGGGGATAATTCTGTATTTGACCTAATTATCACCCCTGACCTGACTACCACTTTATATCAGTTTTTATTTTAGTTTCATTTTCTTCATTTGTCTATCAAACAGTCTCAATCTTCTGACCAATGATGTGTTTCTAAAACTTTTTTGTATTAAATCTTTAATTTCATGTCCTTCTCATGTTTGTGTAAGAGTTTGGTGTGCTTATAAGATCAAATTAAGTATTGATTAAAATCCTTATCCTGTCCCTCTTGCGGGAACAGATCTAATCTATGGAGGGTGGGGAGGGGCTATGGCTGAGGGAGAGATTAGCAAATAAACTGATAAAGCTGTATTATCCTGCCTTTTTAATGGGAGTTTCATACAGCCTAATTAGTGACGATCTCAGGACTGATCCTTAATACGAGAGGACCATGGCCTGTTAATCGTATTAAAGAGATCTATGTCAGTGTGACAGGTCTAAAACTTATTCAATTATGAACTTCATTCAATTATCAAACTGCAGAATTAGAAATTAGCCTGGTAATGAGAGATACAAGGATTAACCTTTCCAATCGTAAGACATGTTTGGTCACAAAACCAAAGGCTCTGAATGTAAGTAAATATCCTTCATGGGAAACTAGACTGCTCTGGCCTTTAAAACTACCCTCAATTTGAATCTGACAGCAATTAACGACAGATCATAAAATATGTTGAAATACACAATGTTTAAACATTGAAAATGAATAAACCAAAATTATTTCTCAAAAGAGGCATCTTTAATTAATTAAATGACTAAACCTTACTGTTCTGCTCATTGATAAATGTTTTGTATTTTACCGGCTAAATATGCACAATGCTATTTATCTTATGTTTATAAATATCTTAAACAATCTTTACACCATTAAATATATTTTTCATCAACATGAGGCCTAAAATCATCAAATTATAGTAATCTGAACATGTATAAAATGTCCTACTTGGTTAAACCCCATGATAACAATTACTGGTACATGTGTGTGTCATACCTACATTAAGATAAATATCCTAGCATCAATTATTCAATCTCAAGTGCTCTGGAAATCTTTATCTGTAAAGCAGAGATATATCACTGTTTGATGAAACAACTGTACAGCTATGTGTATGAAATATTAAGTGATATACCTCAAAAAATTACTCTATATATATGCTTGACATATGATAGTTCTGCTCCAGCCTTTGAACGTTAGATGATCCTAGGAGATCTGATTTGCAAAACATACATGCTCCTTTTTTTAAAGCACACCAATCAGAAATGAAATGCTCTTCTTTTCAAACAATTGCACAGCAATAAAATGGTGTACACATAAAAAGAAATAACTGTTAGGAAACTTTTGAGATATAGGTATTTTATGTCCGGGTAACCTAAATGAAACTATAAGCACAAAAAAAATAGATTGGTCACTGACTGGCATAGCACATATCAGTATTTGTAAAGGCAAATTATTGTTTTTTTATCATGGAAGATGTGGTGAAATGGTCTATCATTTTTTATACTAACATCTGATCCATTTTTTAAACCATATTAAATCCAAACAAGTTTTGTAATTTTTAAAAAGCTCTATTTATTACACACATCATTAATATTTCTTTTGTTAGTTGTTATTGACCAAAATAACCAATTTTAGGAGCAAAGTTCATTCCTGGATTTAGCCAATAACTGGCTGTGACAGAAAAGGTAATATTTGACCTTAACTGTCTCATCATTCAAATTTGTGTCTTTTGAGAATTTCAATAGCATAGCTACCAGTACTTAAAATGGGAAATTATGCTGGTACCATAGAGCAACCTATCCCTGCCATATCTTTTAAACGGCCAATATTACCACACCAAGGGATATTATTTTCTTTATATGATGGACTTAAACTAGTTTGCATTACTCAAAGTTCAGAGTCAATTGTTTTAATGATTCAAACGTATTCCCTTTACGAGCTGTCTGCAAAGAGTGAACGTGACAGATAAATGCATAAAGGTTAATCAATTTTCTAATTACAGCACTGATTCAGAGGAATTTTATTTCTAATGCATGGTATTGTTTCAAATGAAGGCATTTAGATCCTGATGTATGATACCACATCATCATATGTATACGATTATATAATCATAATTTTCATTATTTTTAGACTTTCTGTATTTAGCAAAGTGACAAGTAAAAATATAGAATATGGGAAACCATTATTTAACCATAAATACTAACTGTAACACTCTCAATGATACAGGAAAAGATGTTTAGTTGAAATCATTTAAAACCATAATTTCACTTAAGTTAATTACAAACTGACAAAAAATCCTGTTATTTACAAAAATCTCTTATCCATCCATCACAATAAAGGGAAAATGAAAAAAAATAAAACTCAATTAGATATTTCCTCAGAAATGCCAATTAACTTAAAATGACTACTTCCACAGATAGTGTCCTCATTTTCAGAATACGCCTGCATTGATGCTTTAATTCCAAACTGGTACACGAGATAAATAGATTTTCCTGAAATGGTGTTTTGTCTCTGCCCTAACTGTATAAAAGGTGAACATTATTTGAAAATGATGCGACACTTGAAAGTTGAATATAAGGCCATGCATCTCCGCAAATTTGCAATCCAGGAGTAATAAAACAACATGGGTGCATGTAATTATCTTGGTGTGAGGAACTGGTGGATAACAGAATAATTTCATTGTAGTTTATGTACCCCTTTCTTCCCGTCATTGTAAAAACTAACTACAACAGCTGTCTTTATGTACCCAAGTTTAATGGGATTAAAGTCTAATTATGTCTACCCGTGAGTAATGGCCTGTATCACTAACACACACTTAGCATCTTTTGAAAAGTTGCATTATGCAGGTTTATTTTCTTGACTTGAGCACACAATAACTGAGCCAGGAAAACAAAGTGGGTACATGTCAAATGCTCCAGAGGATGACAAAATTCATGGTTACTTCTGCAAAGACCCATATCTGGCAGATGAAAGCAGATGGATGAAGAGCTAAAATCACAATCTGCATTAGTGTTATTGAACTTTTACTATCAAATAGTGATTGATTTATGAGCAACATGTTTGATATAAAACTTAATTTGTTACCAGAATCTGAACTCTAGGGATTCTACAGCCAAATAACAGCCTATCATTTGACTAATTCATTGAACCTCCAATCCATTATTTCCTGTTCCGAGTTAACTTTAAAAGTAATTTTGAATTTCTTTGTCTCCCCACCCATGTTTCTCAGGAAATGACTAGGAGAGCTATATATAGGCTGAACGACCTTCCACATCCCCAGCCATTATAAGCACAGCTACCTGAGTTTTAAAAAGCAGAGTGTCAGTTGTCAGACAAACGAGCTGCAGTTGACAGCTGCTCTCCTAATGTATGTCATGTGCAAATCAATTTGATGTTTTCAGATAAAACTACCCCACTTGGCCTTGCAATGGTATTTTCTTCATTAACTATTATTTATGGGCTTGCAAACTGACATGTATGAAAAATAAATGACGTTATTTGTGTTCTCTTTTGACTGATAACAGTAACCATCAATCACATTGCAATTAGCATCTCCCATTACACAACCCCATGAATTCCTTCCAGTGTGTGATTCCCCCTGGAAACCAAACAACAAGTTTCTTTAGATCATACTGCGTGAGGATAATTATAAATGCAAAAAGTTTCACTTCCCATATTATAGTCCCAAATGTCATCTTATCATTTCATCTAATGCAAGACTTTGCTAATACATCTTGCAAAATGTCAGATACGAAGCAGGCGCCTTTGTTTGCACTGTTGAACAAATACATTAACAATATAAAAGCTGGGGTTGATTGATGGAAGCGGAGATTGATTGTACTGGTTCCACAAAGGCCGCCTGACAGCTGATTGACAATCTGCAATGAAACCTTTGATTGATGTGTTCAGAACAAACAGCAGATGTGCCTGTTGTCGGCTAACACTTAAACAGCATAGTACGGGCGACATGTTCTAAATCCTACTCGACCCCATAAACATTAAACCTAAGATGAAAGTGGTACATAAAACATTTCAAAAATGAACTTTATGTTTTCTGAACACAATTAAAAATGTAAACAGATACCCGTAATTTGTTTACGGGTACGTCGCGACATTCTGAGTATGGGTAGCCATGCGTGCGTTTTTGACAGACGACATAAAATTTGACTGCTCGAGTGCGATTGTGTACACGATTTTCATGTTGACGTCCTGTACTTACATTTACATCGTTTGGGCTGTTCTTGTTTTCTTCTTGGCATTCTCCGGGTTGTTAATCGTCCACTGCCATCAGTTTTTGTTGTCAACCATTATTTAAAAGTACCGCATGTCAAGAAAAACAGCAGCACACTGCTCAAACCAACCTCCAAAACTCACCCGGAAGTAAATATACTCCGGTCGGAGGTGAAATCCGATAAGCATGCGTACTAAGTCAGAAAATGCCTTACTTCCGGTATTGTTTTCTCTGCTTTCACAAGAACATTACGTCAAAAATGCCAGTTTATTTGAGTTGCAACACAATGGAAACATCGGTAATATATGCTTGTATGTATCTGACTCTTATAGATACCACTGCATAGGTAATTCATGTATACAAAACCCTGATATGCATCTAAATGTACCATTTTGCCTCGGCAAATATTGGATTTTTGCTTCCAAATAATTTTCAACCAAAACAAATACCCAAATGCACATGTTATCTGCATGTTTATTATTAATTTTCTTGTTTCGAATGCATATATACATATATGCCTTATCTATATCAATAGAAGAATGTGAATTAATGACTGACAATGATGGTATTGAGTGATTTGAAGTTTAAAATGCACAGATTTACCACAGACCCTTATTAGCTGTGGTAACCTTAGCTGTAGATAACAGAGTAAGAAAATTGATAAATGACAGAAATGTAGATTGATAAAGAAACTATCTTGGGACAAATATATGTGTTGCAAATATATCATACAAAGGTACATATGTATAACTAACAGAAAAGAGAAAATGCAACAGCCAGACCAAGATTTGAACCTGACCTCAAAAATCTGAAAAGAGATGCTCTAACGTCACGCTACCACAATTGGTACACTACCCAAATTGGTACACCATATCACAGGCTATGGAAATTGTTTATATTTCTACAAGTTGATGTGCCGATTACAACAAAATATATTGCTTTTATAGATACCACACTGAACTATAATTGTATATATTCACTTTTATATTATCCGAATATAAGGACCAGAAATCAACATTTAAACATGCTTATATTTAACCCCTTGAAAATCCTCCAAAGTTTCGTAGACGTACATCGTTTTTACTGGATTTCCAATATGTTTACTTTGAAGTCATCGTGTACTCTTAAAATGTTCCTGAAAACAAAACTATTCGGCAGAAATGCTGTTAAATGTCTATTTTATTATACTGTTAATGGAAGATGCTCAAATTTAATTTTAAAGTACTATTCGAACAATTTACTGACAGTGTACCAATTTGGATAGTGTACCAATTGTGGTAGCGTCACGTTAAGCAACTGAGCAACACAGCCTGTTCGTCAGCAATCAACTTAGTCCTGTTCTGCTAGACATGAAGCTATGACATTAAAAATGTCGTACACAGAGCAACATGACCACTTCATGTACATATACTTCTCTTAAAAGGATACACATACTGTTTACAGTGAAAAGCTCTGTAAAGTTTGCCTTTAAAGCCTGTAATATCGAGGAATATAAGGAAAGAGTGGCAGGCATGACACAGTGGTGCAAAACCATCAATTACATTAATGTCAATTTAAGGGAAAGTTAATCAAAATTTGAAGTGACTTAATCATCAAGAGGCAACTCAGAAACATTGTTTAAGAAAATAATGAGAACAAATGTGACCAAAACCTTGTATATCTGGTATCAAGCATGTAGATGAATAAAACTCAACCCAGGAAATGAAATTGCAAAGGCCCTCTGTCTTTAATCTTTAACATTCTGTTAAAACAATCATTAATGTAATCATTACCAAATATTTTACTTACCTGCTCATGTTCAGGGAAAGAATAACTCGCTGGTAACACACCCTTGTCGACGCCGTAACATTAGTCTACGACTACTTTTGACACATCTACTGGCGTAACTGGTACATAAATAGATCAGCTGTATTCAGTTGCAGGTCATAAGAAGTGGCTAATGTGCCCCTTTCCTGCAGAATCATCAGTGGCTTCATTCTATGTCTTTTGCTTATAATTGGATGAAGAAAACATTGGAAAAACTTTGGACATAGGAGACAACAAGAGTATAGACATGCTGTTTCCCACTGCATATGTATTTATAGTCGGAGGTGACTAGTAGGCCCCCCACCCTGCAGATATTGGAGATTTCTTTGGAATCTTCTACTTGGAGGACATTGAAGTGGCCAAACTTGATCTGCTTCCCCAACTACATTACTTTGGATCTCTATCTATCATTATCTGTTCTTTCTCTTTTGCTTATCAGTGTCTGTGACCTGGCTGTTACAAGGATGTTCAAGAAAAACAACAACAAAAACTTGTTACTCACAGTCACAGAAGCTGGACCATCATGTCAATTCTATGTGTACACCTAAAAACTAGTCACTTACCAAATTAACAAACATACATTGTATCCAGGTCTTCATGCAGTATATAATATTAGGACTCAAAAATGATTGAGATGTTTCTCTACTTTTTTATAGACTTTTTGATAGTAATATCGAAAATTAAATGATGTCATTTCATTGTGAACAATGTGTGGTCATCAAGCTTTCTACTGATAGCTAAACAAATCATTGTCAGTTTTTTATCTGATCTGATCTTCAGAAAACATATTTATGTCTTCATATTTCATTTTGTTACTTGTATTAACAGTATTAAGATAAACATAGTAATTATTTGTTATCAAACAACTGTCCATCCATCCATTTTTCTGCAAAAAAACAAATTAATGTAACATCAAGTCATATTTTTTGCTTCAAAATGAATTAAGTCTGAATATAAGCTAAGAAAAGCAAGAATTCTTGGGTTGTTGATAGATGTAATAGCAAAACTATCAGATTTTAGTTAAAGTAAAAGAAACAAGAAAGTCTAAATGTGTTGTTCAGTGCCCCTTTTTGGTTTGGTGTGAGAGACATAGCAACATGTCAGTGGTAAACATAAATCTACTTTCCTACAGCATTCAATAATCAGGGAACACAAGTGTCAACATTTCTTCACCTGTCTGTTTTTTGTTAGAAAGCACAAGTGTCTTTTACATAAGCATTTGATCAGATTTTATTCCTAGCAGAGGCATCGAGAGTTATCATGGTAACCAGGTATACTCATAGGTGTTGAACCTGGGACTACTGTATATAAAGGACCAAGTTTTAAAAGGGTATGAGATTTAAATCAGTTTTATTTTATTGAAGCCTGACATTTTAATGCAAGTGCCCAATGGGCCACATTTCTTACCCACAACTAGCATCCTTTTCAAGGATGTTCTAGTAGTTTGACATCAAAAACATCAATGTTTATGATGCATGCATATATACATAACCAAAATTTATATTTTAATAATTCATATTACAGTCAAGGGTAGTATCAAAGAAGGACATAGTACTTCAGGGACTATTAGGGTGTACTTTCTCCATGAGTCATTTTGGTTGTGTACCTCATACGATGGCAGATTGTTGCATACTGAAATTGGGGCTTACACACCCTCTGTACATGTATATAGAGTTATGACCCTTTGTTTAACTTTTTAACTGAAGGTTGGAGGAGTAAATGGGTTTTATTTCGTGCTATTGGTTGTATTTGACAGCATATAAATTATGCATAAAAAGTATATTTTTATAAATGTAAATCTCGATGAGTTAGTTTCTGTGATGATATGATGCTATAATGCAATAAAAGGCTTCTGTAAAAAACGAAAAATTGTCTAAATAAATATTATTATATATTATGTTGTATAGAACACCCCTGCAGGTGGGGGATCGGGAAAGGAATACTGCATGAACCCCCTGCAGAATTGGGGATTTGCTTCGATGTCCTTTATTTGGGGACACAAAGGCGATCAACATGAATCTGCACCCATTGCTATATTTGGGATCTTTATATTTCTTTCTACTTCTAACTAATTTTTATTTCGTAGCACCTTGCTTGACAACACCTCACTTTTGGCTTGAATGTTGAGCGTTCGCCCAGGTGAGGAAGGCAATGGGTTCTGTCCCCAGACCGGGACATACCAAAGTCCTTTAAAGTGGTAGTTGTTATTCCCTGCTTAACGTTCAGCATTAAGGGGAATGACAACAACTGTTTACCCATTGTCAGTATAATGTGACCGGGCGGAATGCTGTGCTTGGTGTCTTTCAGTATGGTATTTCAGTGAGATAGCACTATAAAGTCGGCATCAGATCTGCGCTTTTACAAGGAGGCAAGCACAGTAACATACCCTGTTTCTTAGGAGCATACACACATGCAAGCACCCATACACCACCAACATGGAGGCACGTCCTTAAATGACCTTAGCTGTTAATAGGACGTTAAATAAAATTAAACCAAACCAAACTAAACCTAACAAGTTGTACAGAAGTGACAAGTAACAATAGCATTGTGACATGATATCTGATATCAAATACATGTTTCAATAAAATGAGCATTCACAATCTAGATGTTAACATTTAAAAACTGGTTTTCTCAATCTGGTAAAAGCCTGTTCCTACTTGTTCTTTATCATTCTTATGTAGCTTATCTCTATTGTAACTTTATAAATATATATGAAAAATTGCATGGTTGTTTTTTTAAATACACAAATAACTGAAACAGTTATTTTCATTTCTCTAAAAGCAGTGTAAGCGCTCAGTATGTGTCAACCTGTCAAACATGTCTTTACACTGGACAATAACAACCCTGTTTTTTAAGACACTGTATGAACAGGCTAACACTGCAAAGGGAAGTAACTCTTAGTATACAAGTTATTGGCCACATGACCATGTACGTACGTCTGCATACTTTTTTGCTGAAAATTGGAAATAAGATTATTACAATAAAAACTCTATGACTGAGTCAATATTATTCTATTTGTGAAGGGAGAAATGTGTTTATCAAAATGATTATGTTTCAAGCTATACTTCAGCTAAAGTAAATGTCCATATGTTAAAACAGATGTATTGGGTGTAGGATGCTTAAATCATGGAGTACCATGATAAAGATAAAGAATTTTTCATTTTGTTAGATATCCATGCCTTATGCTTTTTCTAGAGGTCACTGATTATTAGTAGTAAAAGTCAGTTAGGCTTGATTTTGTGCATTAATTTGCATGTCTTAGAGCTGAGACTGATTTGAAAGTAAAACCTTATTTCACAGTAAGAAAATTCTAGTTGATACACAGAACCATTTTGAAATGTACCTTCAAATCGTACAATCATAGCACGTTTAATACATAAATCTTAATTAGAATTTTGTAGAAACTTTAATGTTAACCAATCCAAAACAACTTGACAATCGGTCTGCATTATGAGTCAAATGACATGTTACGGTAAATCTCTAATTATCTTAAATGAATTGGCTGAAAAATGTGTAGAGTTTAGCTCTATTTAATGTTGATTTCCTTGAACAATGAGCTGTCGGGAGATATGTTACTTAAACTAAGTGATAATTTGGTGGTTTGATTAATTCTCACTAAATCTAAAAGATCAATAAGGAATGCATTTGACAAATATTTGATATTTGTTTGATTAAGAATTGAAAATTGCATGTAGATTTGTGATTAACGTAAACCTTATAGTATAAATAATTTACTTATTTTTTTCTTTTGTGTTTGCAGTGGGCTGATATTTAGACTGGAAGAGGACGTAGGTGTGTGGTACTACTGTCAACTGTCACGACACCAAAGGTGAGGGAACACAGTAACGTGATGTGTGTTGGTGTAGGTTGAAAGGTTGTGACGTGGTGGCAGCATTTGTGATGTAAATAATTACCTATCCCTTCCAGTTACTGTCTACATTTTTTTCTGATACTACATTTTAGAGGGTGCGTCCCACTCTATATTTGCCAAGTTTTGTTATATGAAACATCAGCAAATATCTGTCAGATTGTCAGATTAAGGAAGATAACAAATACTTGTCACATGACGTAGTGGATGTGTCAACGTAGTGGATGTGTCAATGTCCAGCCGCAGACACTTGACTACAGCCCAGCTGCTGAGGTCGCAGGTCAAAGTTTAAGCTCCTTAGGCCTATCATATATAAAAAAAAATATAAACAGTTGCATCGTGTGTCTGCAAAGTTATGAAAGAGAAAAAAGGACGGAAATAGATTTTAAATGTTTGGCATACATTGTGTATGACGTCGGAGGTGCTGTAACTGATGTGATGGCCGTTGGGAGATGACACCTGGATTAGGATTGATTGTCCCTAGATCTCACTAATTAATTCTAACAGACCACTGACAGGTGCTAGTCCTGTTTTGTTGATAAATGCCTCATAACAGACTGGAATTTGTCACCTCCATCTACAATGAGACTACCACAGAAGGCCATATAAGGTTACTACTAGGTATTACCTCACTGACTGTTAAATGAATTACTTTAATATCTGTTTGCCAGTATCCGTAACAGTTGACGTCCGGTTCAGGATGAATAGGTACCTGTGAACATTCTTCTATAATAAATCAGCTGGATATCTAACTTTTTGTTTCAAAAATGTTTTGTAAGTTGTGAAGGAATGTTTCATAAAAACTGAGTAGACTAAAATGTTTTTTCCCTAGTGAATTTTTGCTTAAAATATAAATTGTTTGGTGCCTGCTGTTCATGATATAAATGAATTGTAGGAGTTTCAACCATTTTTCACCACTATGTATATCTTAGTCATTTTCAAATGTAGTGATATGTTTGAATATGTGCCAGTATAGTTGATGGTGATTTGCTATTTTCCTAAATATTGGAGAGAAAAAAACATCCGAGATCCAAATTCATACATTCAGTTTAACTTAGCAACAAATACTTCAAATATCAAGAGTAATAAAGAATGTAAATTGTAAAAAAGAAATCTTCAAATATTTGAAAAATTAATCTTACAGGTAATGTTTGGACCATAAGTTCTAATTGGATGGTTTAGAGTTTTCATAAAAGTTCATAGATGTGTATCATAAACAGTGTGTCACCTCATTCATATACTGCCAAGGTCATGACAAGGGGTCATAGTTCAAATAAAATATTTATTGTAAATCTGAAACTTGGAACAAAAATGCAGTACAGTGGTAGTACTGCTCGAGTTAATATTCATAACCCCATGTAATTGATAATTATTTCCTTTTGGATAAGCTTACTTTACTTGTATATTGTAAAGCTGTAATTTGAAGGATTGAAAACAGGAGATCTATATTTCCTGAAAATTATGCACAAATCAGTGAGTGTTACATATTATTGGTGATTTAGCATATAGCCATGTTGTATGGGGTGGGGTAATTTTTCAAAGTTCAAGCTTAGAAAATGAATCAGATTATGTTTGGTAGGTCCATTTTCTGTTCTAATGGAAATACATGTACAGTGTATTAACATTTGGTCTCCATTTATGTCTTGTGCCAGTTTAACACATACCAATTTTGACCCTGTGAATCCGTTATTTGAAAATACAAATTTATCCCGCAATGAGTCCAGGTTATAATTATCCGACTGTAAATAGCTAGGGAGTTAGGCTTAATAAGAACAATGGAATAGCAGTCACATTTCTCTATCTTTTGCAATATTGTAAGGCTTATTACTAGACATGGGCTAAATGCAGACATATTTCTAGGTCACATAAATGTCATTTTGAAGATTTTACAAATATAGATACAAAAATAAATATAAAGATGATTTATATAAGGATATACATGTAACTTCTTGTCTTAAGCTAGTGTTCTTACATTTTATGTAAAGATTTATGTATATTAAGCCAACACTTAGTGTGATAATGTGATAATCAGAACTATACTAGATATTGTGAACTGACCCTTTTCCTATTTTTTACAGGCCTAATCATGGACGGGGATGAACTTTACGATATGCACATGTGCCTAGTGTGTCAATCCACAGTTGTTGGTCTCATCAACTATGTCAACCACAAGAAGTATGATTGCCCAGGAAAGCAACAGACCAATAATACCAAGCCTCCACATTCTGGTGTTGTTGAAACAGTTCAACAGATACAGGTACCAACAGGATCGAGTGTTTTAGTCCAGAACCAACGTCCTGCTCCAGCAGATAATCGCCATGGTGGCATACAGAATGGTGGCAAAGCAGATGTTGAACTTGGTACAGTTATCAGTCTACAGGATCAACCACAAAGTACAGCTAATAGGAGTTTGACTTTCACAGGGTCAGATGGAGGTCATGGAGAAATTTCAGGAAACATCAGTCACTGTGGAGGTTTATCAAATATATCTGAGGCACAAGCTCAGGACTACAGTTCCAGTACAGTGGCTAGAAGTCACATGACCAGTCTGGCAATCGCCAATGTAATGACCAAAAGCTCTATTTCAACGACAGTACAACTGGACATTGGATCCTCTAATCATCTACTTTCATCTTCATCAAATCTCCATGGAAGTTCGTCTCAGAACCCTGTGTTAGTAGATACCAGTCTGGAGTATTCAAGTTTTCGTCCGGATGCTTTTAGTCCTGGATCTAGCAGTGCGGTGGACCCCAACATGATAATGAGTTCCAGGACATCAGGGGAAAGGTCTGAGGACTTCTTTTCCTCTCTTGCCCTACAGAGTAAGAACCAACAGCAGAACACCATGCTTGGTCAAAGCTTGAGCCACACAGTCACCAGTGGCAACAACGAGAATCTAACCAATGACCTGCCTATATCAAATATCTTGAACAATCTGAACTTCAGTGATGATGAAGACATGAACTTTTCCTTCTCTGAGGATGATTTGTTTGAGGATGCATTTTCTGATTCAGATTCTGACAATGGATGGAGACCCCCACACAATCACACCAAGGGAAAATGGAAGCCTGGACAAGGCCCAGTGTCCGGAGGAAAATGGAAACCAGGTCAAGCTCACCAGCAGACTGGGGGTAAATGGAAACCTGGTCAAGGTCATCAGCAGACTGGGGGTAAATGGAAACCAGGTCAAGGTCCTTACAGTTCAGGGAGTAAATACAGGCCAGGTCGTTCTACAGGTGGGAAGTGGAAACCAGGTCAGTCTCTGTTACAAAATAAGTCCACAAAGGCAGACAAGAAAAAGAAAGGGAGACTGATGGTAAGTGAGAGCCAGAGTCAGCAGGAGTACTTCTGTACAGCTTGTAATGTATACTTCAAAAACAGGTTCTCATACTCTAGTCACTGTACAGGCAAACAACACAAAGAGAACGTTATCATTGGTAAGTGTTACGACAATGACACTGAGGGAGGCTTAGGACTTGGTGAGAGCCTCAATATCCCTCAAATCAAGAGCGTGGAAGAGAACTTCAAATCTGATTCTCCGACTACAGATTCTCAGACAACAGATTCTCTGGCTAACAATAAAATTCCTGAATACAAAACTACTGGTCTGCCAGTAGATAATGTTAACCAGGAGAATGAGGATGAGGCATCTAGTCCAGGAGTTACCATGGAGGAAAACATCTGTCATGGAGAAACAGAGCATCAAGCTGTTAATGAAGAGGAGGATGAAAACACCATGTCTTTGAACATGTCACCCCAGGATAGGTTAAAAACAAATAAGACTGTTGTTGATATTGATGATAATGATGCAGATGACAGCAATGATGAAGATGGTGATGAAGCAGAGAACGATGATCAGCATCAGGAGGACCCAGAGCCAATCAATCTACCCTCGGAGGTCCTGGTGTGTTGGATCTGTGATAAAAAGTTCTACAGCAAGTACGTGTTGGCCCGTCACATGTTGTCAACCTACCACAGGAATCGTACAAAGGGCCACCCTGACACTCTACGCGTGTTGGAACAGTACAACAAGTACATTGTAAGGCTCAGTCCCTTCCAGTGTAGCCCCTGTCAGTTCTACTTCAACAGGGATGAAGATTTACGAAATCATCTGACTACTGCACAACACATCAAACTCATCAAAAAACTCAGTGGGCAACTAATTTGTACTCTGTGTAAGTTTGTCAGTCGTGACAATGATGCCGTTCGGGATCACATGGATTCAAGGCAGTCACACATAGAGGGACTTAAGACAGGAATCAAACCCTGTATTATAAAGGAGAAATTTCAGGGTGTCCAATGTAAATACTGCAAAAAGATCACTCACTCACGTACACACATGAAACGCCATGTACATTACAAACATGCAGCCGAACTGAATCGGAAAAGTTACAAGTTGGAAAAGAATGGAAAGTTTAGATGCTGTGAATGTTCTAAAATGTTTAAAACATATAAGGTGTTGAACTTACACATTAGTAGGCAGCATAACATGTGCAGTGAAAATTATTGTGATATCTGCAATAAAACACTTGGGGACAAATACTCTTACGACCGCCACCTACAGGGGGACAAACACCTCAGGAATGAGCAGAGCCAACAGTACCAACCCTCAGCTAGCAAGAGGGTCAATCAATTTGAGGTTGTGAATTCAAGTGAAGCAGCCAACAATGCTGTAGCAGGTCTAAAGCGTAGTGTTAAGCTTATCATACGAACACTGCCAGCAAAGAGGATACGCAAGAACAGGAAGAAGACAGAGAACAAGATCTACAAGTGTGATCACTGCGAGCACAGTGTGACAAAGTATTCAGATCTACGGCCTCACTACATTGATGTGCACTCCAACCACATTCTGGTATGTGACATCTGTGACATGACTTTCATCAGCCAAAAGGCCCTCAAACATCACAACCAGAGCAAGCTGCACCAGGCTAACCTTGAGGAGGTGGAGGGCAAGAACACCCAGAATATATACCAGTGTGACGTATGTAAACACCGCTTTACTGAGGAGGGCTGGAAACAGTTTCATATGGAGGTCTACCATCTCCACCCAAACTCAGAGGAAGCTCTACAGAAAAAGATCGGTGGCATAGACATTACGAGTAAGGTGTATGCAGACTATCTAAAGAGTGTGAAGCACTTAGACAGAGCAGAAAAGGTCAATTGTCCGGTGTGTGATAAAAGTCTTAAAAAGGAGCATGTACTAGAACATTTACGTCTCCACACAGGAAATAAACCGTTCATGTGTCGCTACTGCAACTTTGGTTTCATCTCAGCACTGTCGCTACGACGCCACCTGTTGGGTCACATGGGCCTTACCGAGAGAAAATGTGAGGAATGTGGGAAGGAGTACAAAAAAATATCTTCATATAAAGAGCACATGCTACAACATGAAATGGAGAAAGCTGGCAAACAGAAATTCATGTGTGATATCTGTGGTCAGGCATTCTACCTGCAGAAACAGCTCAATAATCACATGCGCCGACATGGGGAGCGGAAATTTAAGTGTTCGTTTGATAATTGTCACTGGAGTTTCTACTTTTCCAATGAACTAGAGTCACACATGAGATCCCATACAAGAGAAAAACCATTTCTGTGTGATATTTGTGGTTATGCTGCTGCCACCAAAAATCGTCTGCTTCGCCACTCCAGGACCCACACTGGGGAGAGAAAGTTTCATTGCGAGTACTGTACCTATAAGGCTGGTACAAGTACACATTTACGGCGTCATATGAGGATTCACATTGGATCCAAGCCATACAAGTGCCCTTACTGTGACTACTCTTGTAACACTCATGAAAACATACGTAAACATATTGTCAAAACTAAAAAACATGCAGGACTCAGTATCTACCCATGCAAGTTCTGTCCTTTTGGAACAAATAAGGTCACAGAGTTCAGAGAGCATTTAGTAGATAGTCACCCAAACGAAGTAGAAGGAAGTGTGTTTGATGGTCTGGCAGAAATGACAGGTCTTTATAACAAGGAACAGGACCCTAGGAAGCCATCAGAAGGCATGAGGATCAATCCAATCAAAGAGAGGAAGGTCAGGCTACAGAAGAAACAATTTGGTGTAAAAAAACGAGAAAATACTGAAACTTCAGGAAAAATCCAACAGAAGGTTCGTTCAGAGTATGTTAGTCTTCCCGATTCAATGATGGTCGCTGAGCAACACAAGATACCCAGTCATCTCAATCCAATTTGGCATGACCAAATTGAAAAGGAGGCTCGGGATGCTGCAGCTATTTTGGTGTCTGCTGGCAATGCTGGTGCATCTGGACTTCATCCCCATCACCACACAACAGCCCTGCATGGTTCACTGGGACTGATGTCGGCATACAACTATTACCCTGAGGCTCTTACAGGGAGGGGAAAGGTGGACAGTCCTTATGTACCTAATGGTTCCACAACCAACCTGATAAGGATGGACCCTCATGCCAGTCTGCAAAACCATGGCCACCAGCAGTGTGACAGACCTGATCTCATCATAGATTACCTTGAAATGGAGGTCCAGGACACCTAGCCATAAAGTTGAGGAGATTATCCCACTTATCTGGAAACCAAGATCAAGGACATGTAGTCAATGCTGACTTAGTATCTTCACAGGAAACTAGGCAAACTGTTGATTATAGTTACCTCCCTTATCTAGAAATTGAGGTCCAGAACATATAGTCAATATTGACTTGGGTATCCCCACGGAAATATAGGCACGTGTTGGTTAGGGTCACTTCCTAAGCTGGAAATGGAGGTCACATGGATTGTGTTCAGGATCGATATCATAGAATTTATGTAGATGTTTTATATACAAGATGGTCTTGCATATCCTGCACAACTTGTAGACTTAATATGGTGGCACTGGGGCAATGATAAAAGTTTATTATGTTTTTCTTGCATAGGAATAGGCAAATTTCAAGCATAAAAAAACATGAAAAAAAAAAAATCAAATCTTCTCAAGGTTTAAAAATCTGGAAATATAGTTTCTATATTCTGATATTCATATTTTGAGCACAATGAACTACTTCTAGCATTGATAAGAAATACTGAATAATTTTACTCTATATAAAACTACAGTCTATATAGACTGCAATTCAGAATGAAATATTTTAAGTAGATCTATGTAGGCTGTGATCTGAATGCAAACCTATCCATAGAGTTTGACAGCGTTATACCCCAAACCCTATAGCTACCTATTAATGGCACAATTGTGGATATTGCACAATAGTCGGTGAAACAGGGGTTTCTCCCCCTCTAGAAATGATACTAAGGACTACTTGCTGTTGTCAGCAATACATTCTATAGCACCCGGAAGTAAAGGTCTAATACCGCTGATCATAGTGTCCAGCATGCTATTGTAGATGGAATTGAAGGTCAAAGGTCACCTTGACATAGTGTTGATTGGTTGTTTCCTTTACTGAGGATATGTTTAGAAAGGTAAAAGTTTTGCAAGGTGTTCATTTATATGATCGTCTTTAAAAATACACATTTTGTGCAATAATGTTAATCAGTATTGTTAATATAGTTAAATGAGGGAGACATCCCACTTCAAAATAGCCATATCATCTGATATAAATTGATTGACTTAAAGGAAAACACTTGAAATATTCCTAAACATTTTTCTTGCTGATGACAGCCCTACCTGGTAATTGACATTCAGGACACCTGATCACGATGTCAAGTAGGATGGACATCTAGCTGTAGAGTTATCTTCATTGGACGTTATTCTGATTCAAATCATGATAGATATACCTGTATTTAAAAATTAAATATTAAATTTTCAGGATCAGAAGTTTTTGAATAATTGAAAAATATTTGTTATTGAGTGATTTTCATGAAAATCTGTAATAGTTAATGTTAATATTTGTATTCATGATTTTTTTTTGAACTGAGGTGAAAGTAGGTAACACTTTCTTAGTTTTATCTTACGATTATTTTTTAGAATTGAGGGAAGGATATTGAGAGCTGCCATATGACTTCCATGTGTTATATATAGAGCTGTGGATTTGATATCTATTAGTGTTTAAGGAATAGCATTTTATACGGTAGATCCATGTAATAGAGGCAGAATTTTAAGTAGTTTGAATACATAGACCTGGTTATTTTTGCATGTTCTGAACCTATTTTTTTTACTGAAGTCTTATTTTATATAACCCAAATTTATGGTCTATGTATGAGTATTGTAATTTACTCATGTACTTGCCTTGTAGTAATAGATGAGGTAACAAGTGCACTAGAGTACATGGTTTTGAAATTCAAAAATATGTTCACACCTAAAATAGGTGTGTATACACCCTTTAATTCTTGGTACTGTACCTCAAAAACATTTGATACATCTCATGTAATAGCTGCATTTTATACTATTTTAGATTATATTATTTTATTGTGGGCAAATGTGCATATAGAATAGATGTAGGCAGATGATTTATGCCAAAAAAAGAGGTTTCGTAACTGATTAAAATCATCCTTATTGCTGGAAATTTGCATTTATTGAAACTATCCAGTACAGAATATACTTTCATATTATACAGAGATATGCAACCACATTATACGAGAGAGAGATACACTTTACATCCACATTATATGAGAGATATACACTGTACATCCACATTATACGAGAGAGATACACTGTACATCCACATTATACGAGAGAGAGAGACAGAGAGAGATACACTGTACATCCACATTATACAAGAGAGCTATACACTGCATCCACATTACACGAGAGAGAGAGATACACTGTACATCCACATTATATGAGAGAGAGATACACTACATCCACATTATACGAGAGAGAGATACACTGTACATCCACATTATACGAGAGAGAGATATACTGTACATCCACATTATATGAGAGAGAGATACACTGTACATCCACATTATACGAGAGATATACACTGTACATCCACATTATACGAGAGAGAGATACACTGTACATTCACATTATATGAGAGAGAGAGATACACTGAACATCCACATTACACGAGAGAGAGATACACTGTACATCCACATTATATGAGAGAGAGAGATACACTGTACATCCACATTACACGAGAGAGAGATACACTGTACATCCACATTAAACGAGAGAGAGAGATACACTGTACATCTACATTATACGAGAGAGATATACACTGTACATCCACATTATACGAGAGAGAGAGAGAGAGATACACTGTACATCCACATTATATGAGAGAGATATACACTGTACATCCACATTATACGAGAGAGATACACTGTACATCCACATTATACGAGAGAGAGAGACAGAGAGAGAGATACACTGTGCATCCACATTATACAAGAGAGCTATACACTGCATCCACATTACACGAGAGAGAGAGAGATACACTGTACATCCACATTATATGAGAGAGAGATACACTACATCCACATTATACGAGAGAGAGATATACAATGTACATCCACATTATATGAGAGAGAGAGATACACTGTACATCCACATTATACGAGAGAGAGAGATACACTGTACATCCACATTATACGAGAGAGAGAGAGACACTGTACATCCACATTATATGAGAGAGAGAGAGACACTGTACATCCACATTATATGAGAGAGAGAGAGACACTGTACATCCACATTATATGAGAGAGAGAGATACACTCTACATCCACATTATATGAGAGAGAGAGATACACTGTACATCCACATTATATTAGAGAGAGATACACTACATCCACATTATACGAGAGAGAGATACACTACATCCACATTATATGAGAGAGATATATACAATGTACATCCACATTATATGAGAGAGAGAGATACACTGTACATCCACATTATATGAGAGAGAGAGATACACTGTTCATCCACATTATATGAGAGAGATACACTGTACATCCACATTATATGAGAGAGAGATACACTACATCCACATTATATGAGAGAGAGATACACTGTACATCCACATTATACAAGAGGGAGATACACTACATCCACATTATACGAGAAAGAGAGAGAGAGAGAGAGAGATACTGTACATCCACATTATATAAGAAAGAAGAAGTGAAAAGCATCATGGGATCATTTCTTCCCAAATTACTTTGAATGAAATCAATTATGTTGTAGCTGCTCAAGCAGGTTCATGATAATGTTTGTAGTAGATGATAAACACCTTACATAAAATCACTCATCCTAATTAGTGTTTAATGTAAAACTCACTTCAATAACATCTCAATCAAGATGGTAAATCTTCAACTGAGCCAATTACAACATGGGGTCCATGTTACAATGCTGTATCATAAAACAGTGCCAACATTTATAATTAATATATGTTCTGAGTGGCTGTGTCCAGCAATAAGCCCATGCCTGGTAATAAGCCCACCCAAATACATTGCAGTTTTGTAGAGATGTAAACAGTTCTTATTTCATTAGCCCATCCCCCTTCTCTGACTAAGAAACTACATGTTGGACTCTTGCTCATTGCTGGATATATACAAAGTTATCATTGAAAACTCATTGTCCATTGGATGACTTGAAATGTGTCCTCTACCAGACATTGTCTCCCCTGTACATTCCTGTGTTGTGTCTGTGATTAATGCAGGTGTTCTATAGAAATATGCAAAATTTTCATTAACAAAGTACAAATGTAGCAATAATTTGCATGAAGATCACTTGAATTGCTCTTTCCTTGATTGCAGTGAAAACAGTTTATAATGAAGTTGCTTGTCAAATTTATGCCCTGTTTTTTTCTGCTAGATTGGACATATTTTGCCAATGAGCTCACACCAAGGTGTAGCGTCAATCATTAACTTTTCCTTTGACAGACTACTCTCCAGAATGACTAGAAGGATGTTGACTTATTTGGTATGGAGCATCCGTGGGCCAAGGGAAATTGTGGTTGTATTCATGAAGGCTGTGGCTCCATTTTAGGAAGAAGGTCGGGGAACATTAGATAAACGAGGAAATCTTTTGAAGGCTGTTTATATTATCAAATACTGTTACAGTTTAAAAGATTTTAGCATGAAGCATTCCTAGGCATAAGAAATAAGATTGTTTGTCCCATGGGGTAGAGGATTATAGGAAAACATTTTTTACTTATCAAGTTCCATGCTGACGTGTAGTCAAACTACAGGTGATCATATCGTGCCACTGACCAAGTCTTGTTAGGTCACCTGAGACAAAGTCTCAAGTGACCTATTGCGATCGCCTTTTGTCAGCCAGCGTCCATCATGCGTCCGTAAACAATTTACCTTTTTCAACTTCTTCTCCAATACCCCTGAACCAATTTCAATGAAATTCTGCCGAAACCTTCTTTGGCCAAAGGTCAACAAAATTCGTGGCCTGAGGGGCGGGGCCAAAAAGGGTCAAATTGACTAAAATTTCAAAAATCTTCTTCTCAAGACCCAGATATGGTAGAATCAAATACTCTTCATAGATGGAAGGGTCTAAAGGTGCTTTACCAAAACTGTGAATTTCTTAACCCTGGGGTCTCACATTTCCCCCTGGAGAGGGGGTAAATTTTACTATAGTATATATAGGGAAATCACATTTTGGAACAACATTTGTTTAATTTCCATTGGAAGTAATTCAATTTAGGTTAGCATTATCAGTATTAGGTAGCAGTTTGATGGTATGCCCATATCAGCCTTGACTGACCCCTAGGGGCTGATGGGTGGGGCCAAAAAGGTTTGAATTGACTGAAATTTCAAAAATCTAATCAAAGACCCAGATATGGTAGGATCAAATACCCTTCATAGATGGAAGGGTCTTAAGGTTCATGACCCTAGGGTCTCACGTTTACCCCCTGGGGAAGGAGGGGGAGGGCAAAATTTATTATGGTTTATGGCAAATGGTGATACTTTGAATATTACATGTTAATAACTTGATTTGAATTATAACCCTGAGTTGACAGTTTGATACTTTGAAAATTTTGAGCCAGCCCTACCCCAAGGGCTGTAGGGTGGGGCCCAAAGGAGTCAGTGTGCCAAAATTTCTTCATTTTCCTTGTTTAGAATCGGAGGTGCTAGTTTTAAATACTTTTTAGGATATAAATCTGTAAGCTAGATATTGAATAAGGTGGTTTTATTGTTTTTTGTCACTTTGAATAATATTTCTGTTCATGTGAAAAACCAAATCAAATCTCTGTATTAATATATCAGGTGACTGTTAAAGCCCATGGGCCTCTTGGTTTTTTGTGCTGGAATGATTCAAATTAAAGTCTTCTTATTGAACATTTTCAATTTCTGAATTATCACCAAGTTAGCGATCTTGTTCTCAAATTGGCAGGAACATTATCAACGTTTTCTCAAGTTCAGACAACAAATAGAAATGGTGAGTGATTCAGGCCCCATGAGCCTTTTGTAGATTATCAGTTGATGAATTATGATGGTTGTTTTCCAGTTCAAAATGAAAATTTTAAAAATGGTATAGTTGTGTCTGCGAATTTATTTTTTGCAAAATGTAACCCAACGTTTTAGAAAGTTCTTGCCTTCATTTCATGTTGGTAAAAGGTGAAAGTTGATTTTCATGGCTGGTCACTCATCCCAGTATTTGGATTCTCTGTTATGGTATGTGTACAATGTATGTTGTTTATCCTTCCTCCTTACATGTCAGGCATTGGTATATGTTTATTGTTTAGAACAGCTGGTCATTTTTACGATCTCTGTGACTTCCACTATCAATACAACTGTGTCAGGAATTGAAGCAGAGGTCATTTCCAATTGGCACAAATAAATTAATTGTAGTATGTTTTTTATGTCAACATTTTAGTAGAGGAATCTTATTATTCCGTCTTTTCGCATTGCAGAGTTATCTGATCTTGTGAGCAGGTATTGAT